CAATGCTCCCGGTCATCCTGGGACCAAGGAGCTCCAGGATATAGAGGTCACCTGCATGGACTTTTCCTGTACTTCACTGGGACTTTGTCAGGACACCCCCACATGTCCTACCACATAACGCAATGAACAACCCTAGGGATGCAGAGTTTTTGAGCTAAAACTGTGAACGTCCCAGGTAAACCCGGCAAGTTGTTCACCCTCATCCTCACACCTTAGATCAGCAATGATGGGGCCTGGACCTCCATGTGTGTATTTTTTGAGAGTGGCAGCCAGAGAGTCCATCTATTCTTACAGGGGCCTGTAATCCCTTGAGGATGACCGTGCTGCTCCCCACCCTCAACTGTGACGCATGTCCTACCGGTGCACCAGGTGAAAACCGGCAATGCACCATACAGCTATGTTTATGGACAGAATGGAATTCCTAACATCCATTCCAAGAGGAGGTGCTGCCTGTTGGGCAGATCTGGGAAGAGATGGCTCAGCTGCTGTGACATACTGGTCAGCTGGAGAACAGTGGGTACCAACCGTGGCTGATTTGGGTGTTGACTTTTGGTTTGATTTGGGGTCAGGGAAGTGGTGGCTGCTACAGGAGCAAGAAGAAATTATTTGGAAAGATCCTTAGAGGTTGACTCATCCTAGGGCTTGAACATGTCACTCAGTAAACATTTACTGAGCACCTATTGTGTGCAGGAGTTGTATAAGGAACTCAAGCAAAGACAGCAACCCGGCAGGCATTGTTAGGACTCTGGTGCCGGCCACCTGGGGTTTGAATCCCAACACTGCCTTGACGGGCTGTGTGACCTTGGCCAAGTCACTGAACCTCTCGGTGCCCCCATCCCTTAATTTGTAAAATGGGATAAATATCTCCCAGCTGTTATGAGGAAACAATGCCTAAGAGCAGTAAACCAGGACCAGGACTGAGCTGGTGGCGGCACACTCGACCCCTCACCAGCCTCTATGGGGTTTAGGGCTTAGGCAAGCCATGGAGTGAAGTCTGCTATTCACCTAGCAGAAACCGAAGCTCTGAAGGAAGCCAGATAGTAAGGTAATATTGGCATTAACCTGTGAAGCATTTCAAAGGACCCAGAAGACTTAACAGAAATTCAAAAGGGTGTCTAAGACTTGCTATCAAAAAAAGTGCTATGTACTTCTTCCTAGTAACATCTTTATCCCTTCAAATACCAACATCAAAGTTACATTAAAAATACACGTTCAACTTTCCACCTGGACCAGGGCTTCTGGAAGAGCTGCTAGGCTGATCCAGCAAGCTGGGAACGACTCAGAACCAGACTCAGCTGCTGTGACGGGAGGAACCACCATTGCTGGGTTTGAAGAAGCATGCGGGGTGACACAATCAGTGTAGAGAAGCTGACCGCAAGCTAACGGGAAGCAGACAGGTGACAGGAAAGAGACAGGAAGCAGACAGGACATAGGAAAGAGGACACAGGAAGCAGACAGGACACAGGAAAGAGACAGGAAGCAGACAGGTGACAGGAAAGAGGAAGCAGACAGGACACAGGAAGTAGACAGGAAGCAGATAGGATGCAGGAAAGAGACAGGAAGCAGACAGGTGACAGGAAAGAGGAAGCAGACAGGACACAGGAAGTAGACAGGAAGCAGATAGGATGCAGGAAAGAGACAGGAAGCAGACAGGTGACAGGAAAGAGGAAGCAGATAGGACACAGGAAGTAGACAAGACACAAAAGCAGAGAGGAAGCAGGTGGGACACAGGAAGTAGACAGGACACAGGAGCAGAGAGGAAGCAGGTGGGACACAGGAAGCAGACAGGATGCAGGAGCAGACAGGAAACAGGTCGAAGAAGTAGACAGGACACAGGCAAGACACAGGAAGCAGGAAGGACACGGGAAGTAGACAGGATGCAGGAGCAGAGAGGAAGCAGGTAGGATACAGGAAGCAGACAGGAAGCAGAGTGCACATGGAGCCATAGTTGATAGTCGTAACTTCCATCTTCCACTCGCTGTCACTGGGAAGGGGTGGTCCATAGAAATACCTCCTTGCTTCATTATTTGATAGACATCATCAGTGTGGTTTTTGGCTTTGCTCCCTAGTTACTGTTTTTATGTGGGGATTCACAGAAACTCAAAAAGTATGTCACCATAGGCTTCATCTTCCTAGAGCCCCTTCCCCTTGCTTTCAACCTCTTGCCCCCAGAACTGGTTGTCTTTTTTTTTTATAAGATTTATTTATTTATTCATGATAGACATAGAGAGAGAGAGAGAGAGAGAGAGGCAGAGACACAGGCAGAGGGAGAAGCTGGCTCCACCCAGGAAGCCCGATGCGGGACTCGATCCCGGGTCTCCAGGATTGCACCCTGGACCAAAGGCAGGTGCCAAACCGCTGAGCCACCCAGGGATCCCCAGAACTGGTTGTCATTGTGGTCACTGTCCCATTCAGCCAGCACTTGGGCCAACTTGCCTACATGGTTTCCATTTCCTTTGCCCTTCCACTTTACAGCTCACTCCTTCCTTCCGAACTGTTTCCTTCTTTCTATTCAGACTGTCCCTTCAACACCTCTCTCAACAAAGACTGGTTAGTGATAATGCTCCTAATTCTCACCTGTCAAGGTCCTTTTTCCTGCTCTTTGTAATAGTTTAGCGGATTATATCATTCTAGAGGAAAGTATTGCTCCATTGCCTTCTGGCTTCCAGGGTTGTTTGACAAGTCTATTAGCTGTCCCTTTGGAGGGAATGAGTCTTAAATTGTGCAGGGTAAAAAGAAGCCAACTAGTAACAAGGTGACCATTGAGTGAGAGGCGAAAATCAGTCAAAAGGGACAAGGTGTGTTTTCAATGGCAAGGAGCTCTCCTGGGCAGGGAGAGCAGGAGGAGCAGCTGGGCAGGGCCTCTGCAAATGGCCCCATGTGGAGACCAAGTGCCTAAGTCTGTTGGGAGCCCCATTCCTAGAGGCACAGGGACCCCTCTGGCCTCTTTGGTGTTTCCCAGAGCCCTGCCCCGGCTTCCTTCCTCTCCTCCATGGTGCTTTGGCTCTGCTCTATCCTCCCCTGTGCCTTTATTTGCAAGCCTTCGAGTCTGGAACAGTCTCCACCTGCCACCTGTACCTCCACTCTAGTTTTGGCCTTCTAGTCTCAGCTCACATGATGTTTCTCAGTGTACTCTCCCAACCAACCCCAACTTGTTCCCACCCCCATTCTGAACCTCTCTCCATCAGCCCTGAGGAGCATTATTACATCTTCCCATTCTGCCCATTGTTGTACCTGTCCTCGTTGTTCCTGTGGGCCCCATAAGGGTAAGGGCTCCAAGGTCACATCCACTGTTATACCCCACAATGTGTAGATACCAAGCTATGGTCAAACAGACCTCTGACTTAGGGATGGCCAACTGAATCTAGCATGAACCCCACTCCCTTCTGAATTCCCACTATGGTGGCAGGGAAGGAACAAGGACAGAGAACAGGACTCCAGAGTCACATTTTGGAACCTGACACTGATGTACAAGTGGTGATCCTCTTAGCAAGCCCAAGAGAGCAGGTTCCTACAGGGTAAGGGAAGGCTTGGTTACCCCATGGAAAGTCCCTAAGTACAGGGATACACTGGAGCTCTTCCAGGGTAGAAGAGTTTAGGGGTCAGATGGACCTTCAACAGTCTCCTACAACTTCATGTTTCCTCAGGCAGTCCCCCCAACTCTAGCCCCACACAGCTCCATCATCTAACCCATGGTAAGGGCCCTTTCCTCTCAGGGCTGTTCTGAAGAGGGAGAGTGGCTTGAAGTGCCCAGCCTAGGTAGGTGCCCATCAATGGCCATTTAAGGGTCAGAAGAGCCAGGTGGTGGGCCAGCAGTGACCTTGGGTCAGGGGACACCTCAGCCCCACAGCTCACCCTGGAAAGGAGCTGAAAACGGTACCACCTAGTGAGAGGCCCAAACTTTGTAGGTGAGGCCATCCAGAGGCCACACTGGCCCTCACAGGCAGCCTCCCATGCTCTGCAGATCCCAGTATCTCCTTCCCTCAAGGTGGGAAGGGCCTGCCAGGGAATTCTGCAGGGCCCTCGACAAAGAAGGAGTGAGGGCATTTCTAAAGCAGCAGGAAGACACTACCATGAGGGGCTTTAACCTGCTCTGAATTTTGTTGGTTAGATATTGCCTTTTTACCACCAAAGGCCTTCTTCCCATGACAGCCTCTGGTCAAGCTCCAGAGGCCAACTCCCCTCCCAGTTCCAGCTGGGCTTCTCAGAGGCCACCTCCCACCCTCAGCACACTCTGACACAAAGGCTGCCAGTCCTCCAAGCATCTCATCACACAGGTTGTTCTAGGATTTGTTCTGCTGCTCCAGGCAGGGTCTCCAGGGATCAGTGAGGGGCCCTGACATGCAGAGCAGGTGGGAGATCAACAGTAAAGCGGAATGCAACCCCACAGGGAGCCTGCTGGGGCCAGGGTGATGCTCCTTCCCTGGCACCAGCTCCACTGTCGCTTTCTAGATAACCAGGCTGAGTGTGGCCAGGGTACCAAGTCCATCACTCAGACCTCAGTCCAGGAGCTAAGCTCAGCCTGTCCTTCACAGGCTTGTGGCCACCCACTCCAACCAACACTTACAATCTCATAAGGGGGAGGGCTGGTCCCAGAAGAAAAGTAGCTATGGGGACTTCTATTGATCCAGCTTCCATAATGGGATCTTACAACTCTGCATTTTTAGTTTTTAAATACTTTTTAAGATCTTATTTATTCATTCATGAGAGACACAGAGAGGCAGAGACACAGGCAGAGGGAGAAGCAGGCTCCATGCAGGGAGCCTGATGGGGACTCGATCCCAGGACTCCAGGATCACGCCCTGAGCTAAATGCAGAAGATCTACTGCTGAGCCACCCAGGCGTCCCTATTTTTAGTTTTTACATGATGTCCCCTTAAACAATTTATTCTTGCCATTTCATTTATACCCAAAATATATTTAAGTCAGACACTTGAGAGAAACTGTGTTTCAAACAACAGGCGCTTTTGTTTAGTTATCAAAGAACCAACCACAAAGGAGTTCACGTAGACTGCTCATTTATTAGCACTGGTGCTGTAACATAATGGTTTCCAGTGACTGTGTTGAGCTCCAGGAGGTGACAAACAGAACACGGTGAGGTTCAGATGGATGAGTGGCAGGCTCCTATTTCTTCCACTCATTCTTGTCGTAGTCCCACTTGGCTGAGAAGCCCTGAATCGGGCTGACCTTCATGTCAAGCATCCTCTTGGTCTGCTTGGCCACCCACTCCTCTTCAAAGGTGTGCGGGATGGGGCCGTACACTAAAGCCCAAAACAATTTCATGAGACAACACTGTCTTGACAAGTCGTTTCTAAGCCCATGCATTATTCGAGTCAGGTCTTCCCCAACGCAACATACTGGCCACCACACTAGGGAAGTCATTTGCCACTCAACACCAACACCCAAACAAACACACAGGCTTTGACTTCTGGGCACTGACCACTCAGTATTTCCAAATTACTCCTTTGTTGACTAAAGACTAACAATAAAACACAAGCTAGGAGGAAAAAATCTTCTGTGTAGGATAAAGATGATGGGGTCTACAGGCTAGCATAGGACACAAACTGAGCCAAAAGTGACTTGTGAGATCAAATACATAGGCATGAGTAACCCATGGCCACAGGAAACCAAAATGTAGAATTATAGCTGTTTGGAACAGGAAAAAACCTTTATGCCTGGACACGGAGGACCAAGAGGCAGCACACAACGAGCCGACAACCCCAACACTGTCTAAGCAGGAGTGGGTGAGGTCTGAAGACCCAGGATCCTACTGAGATGCAGTCTCCATACAACTGAAATAGCCCTTCAATAAGAAACCATACCCTTTCCCTTGATCGAACTCTCACTACGTCATCTTTTGAGAATTGTCTGGTGAGCCAATAAAGCGCTACAGAAACGTGGTGTGCCATACAAAGAAGGGAAGGTCATTCACTACCAAGCACAGCCTGATGTGAGTAAGGCAGATTTTGGCTTACACTTCAGTTAACGTGAGCTGATTTCCCAAAGCTGGTGAACAATGCTGGGATGAATCCCAGAACGGAGACGCCTGCCTTGTGCATAGGCACCCAGAGCCCACTCCTGGCCATTGGAAGATGGTGCCATGCTGACCCAATCCAGGTCTTGTGTGGTTGCGACCCGAGACACCAGGCCTACAACCTCTCACCACTCACCATAGTGCTTCTCCCAAATGAGAATGAGAGCAGTGAAGCCAATAAAGAACAGGGCGGTGCCCACAACCGTCTTCCATTCATTTGTGCTCCTGTTCATTTCAGCAAAGCTCTCGTTGAACTTGATGCGGTACACTAGGAAGAGAGCACAGGTGTTTGTAGGAATGAGGGGCAGCACAGCAGCTCCCTCTCCACAGGGGTCCACTAGTTCTCCCACAGCACAGCCAAGGGACACAGCATGCATGCACGTGCTCATGATTGCATACAAGGCGTGATGGAGAGGAGAAAACACATGGACTCTGCTTTGGACAATAAAACCACAGTGAATTCTTTCTTCTTGAGAGAACAGTGTAGAAGATGCATAGTCCCATAAAACTCACTCCCTTTTATCAACTGACAGCATTTTGCTGTACTGATGTTCCAACAGTAAGTTGCAGAGAACCCAGTTCTACTCAGCAGGGATGCCAAGAAGCCGCATCCACACACTCTGCACCCAAATGACCCACACCTGGCTGCTCTGCATCCATATCCATGCTCCTCCCCAGGGACCAGAGCCCCCTGAGCACAGAGGGGCCCGGCCAGAGGTGCAGCCAGCCCACAGAGTCAGGGCCCTGGAACAACCCCACAATATACAACACACTGAGCCTCCCGAGCACACTGGTCTCAAGCAGCACCCTCGAGCTCACAGCCCAGAAACCAGTAAAAATTCTCACACGGTTTATCGATATTCCTGCTTCAATACCCACATTCAACTTTTTCATCAATGGAGAGGCTGCTCCAGGAAGCCTTCTCCTTCTCTTTCAAAGCCTTCTGGCTGGCAGAGAGGTTCTTAACGTGGGCCACATCAGGCAGGGGATAGTCACGCCGATCGACATAACTTGGGAGAGCGAAGTCTTCACTCTTCACAACACTTCCTACGAAACACAGTGAACAAATATTTGAACACACACAGATTCAGAATTACAATCCAAAATAAGTAGAAAAATGTATACCCTGAAGACCTCAGTTATCCTGGGGAGCTGCAGTCACGTTTCAAACAGCTGAATGACTGTCAAGGGAAGCAGGCCTGTCCTGTGTGGCTCAGAGGGCAGAATGAGGGTGGTGGGCAGCCGGTTAACAGCAGCACTTCATCACAGCCAGCAAACACCTGCCAGGGCAACCGCCAACAGAGGCAGCACTGCCTACAGCTAACAGTCTCACAGAGACAGCATACAAGGGCTCTCAGGATGCCCTACTGGATTAGATGAAGGCCCTTCTGCAAGAGACTCAAACTAAGAAGGAAAAGCAAAAACAACAGAAAACTCAAAAGAAAGCATTCAAAGGTCAGAAACCAAGACATACAGCGTTGATTATTACAGTAACAAAAACTAATCACCGGTGTTCACTGAAGTCTAGAATCAATGGACTCCACAGGCATATCATGGTGCCGACTCACCCACAGGTTCATGTTCACTGAGCACCTATTACATGCTAACTGGGGCCCTATGCATCTGAGATCAGCAAAGAAAGATCACTGCCCACTGGTATTCACACGCCCGAAGCGGGACAAACATGGACAGACAAGTGCATCAGAGCTTACTGAACAAGGACTCAGGAAAAAGGAAAGGCAGAGCAGAAGAGAACTGGGGGCAGGTGCATATACAGCAGGAAACAGGACACAACAGTTAGGAGACAGGAGAGTAAGGTAGATTCCCTGTGCTCAAAATGCAAAAAGTCATATACTCAGTCACAGAACATGGGGGTTTTTTGGTTTTCTCCCTAAAAATGTAAACTGTGCATATACTTACATGTACATGTAACTGAACACAAAACTCGTGGCACAGTAAACCCTATTGGTCAGTGGGGAGAGTACAAAATGGGGGTTTCTGCTCACGTAGATAAAAATTTAGTGCCTTGAGACACCTGAGTGGCTCAATGGTTGAGCATCTGCCTTTGGCTCAAGGCATGACCCTGGGTCCTGCATCAGGCTCCCTCTAAGAAGCCTGCTTCTCCTTCTGCCTATGTCTCTGCCTCTCTCTCATGAATAAAAAATTTAAAAAAAAAATTTTTTAGTGCCTTAAAACTAGCACAATTTGTGTGTTTATCAGGGCAAGAGAAAAATAGTTCAGAGAGCAAAAAAGAACCCTCAAGAAAATTCTGTGATCAAAACCAGCCTGGAGGTATGAAGTCTTGCAAACACACTTCACTTCCATTAGGTTAGTCTCAATGAATAAATTTTCCGAAATCATGTTAACAATAGTGAAATAGGGGTGCCTGGGTGGCTCAATCAGTGAAGCTGGGACTGAGCCCCGCGTCAGTCTCCCCACTGAGCGGAGTCTGCTTCTCTCTGACTGCTGCTTGTGCTCTCTTGCTCTCTCTCAAATTAATAAAATCTTTAAAAAAACAAGTGAAATACATCATTTCACCTCACGCAAAGTAGAATTTCTCTAGATGTTTATCTTTGCCATGCAAATGACCAGCATACTTACATATACTGGAGCTTACCTCAAAAAATATAAGGTGGAAATGACTAAAATTACTTTCAAATCTTAAAATTCTAAGGTTCTATTAAAATGAGTAGACTCTAGGGCAGCCCGGGTGGCTCAGCAGTTTAGCGCCTGCCTTCAGCCAGAGGTGTGATCCTGGTGTGATCCTGGAGACCCGGGATCACGTCCCACGTCGGGCTCCCTGCATGGAGCCTGCTTCTCCCTCTGCCTATGTCTGTGCCTCTCTCTGTGTGTCTCTAATAAATAAAATTTTTTAAAATCTTAAAAAAAAAAAAAAAAGACGAGTAGACTAAATAATAGCTGCATGCTAGCACTCAGCTCACAGGTTAATTACTAAAAGCAGATGTAAACTGGGGTAATGAGAATATTCTAAAACTGACTGTGGTGGTTATGACAACTTGGGGGTTAAACAAAAAAGCAACAAAGTACGTATTTTCAGTGGAGGAATGTTCTGTGAATTACATATGAATAAAATGTTATAAAAATGCAAATCCTCATAACCTGGGAGTACCCTTAGCATAAAATTGCATATTTAGAATGAAAATGGTCCATCAGTGGTCTTAAGGCTGCCAGGGGTTCTTCAGCACTTTGGGCTTGGTCCCCCACACCCCACAAAAGCTAGCATACCCAGCATTCCTTGGAGAGAGAGAGTTTTGTATTCAGGTGAGCATCTCATCATTTCTATCCTCAGCTGGGGAGGTTTCTCACTGAGCCTCTGCTAAGGAAGTCTGGGGAATGGGAGCTGCCCCCTCAATCAGATGGGCCACCACACAAGCATCCAAACATGGTGGTGGCTCCCAGCGGTGCTCCATGGCGTTACTCTCATGTGGAAACAGGTTTTTGTATTCAGATAAGATCTGCGTGACTAAAAGTTCAAAAGGAAAGGACAAGACTTGTTCAAGGGACTGCAGTTTCTGCCATCTGCCCACTGTGCGCTGAAGACACAGCAATGAAAACACAGCAGGTCCTCAGCCTCACAAAGCTTGCACTCTAGAAGTAAAGACAGATGATACACACAAGCCTCAGTATGTCACCGCTCCAAGCAAAGACAAAGCAGGGTGATGTAGGACAAGCAGCATCTCCACATCTTCACAGCGGGTGGCAAGGAAAGGCTGTTCTAAAATAACATTTGGATTGAGGCCGACGATTAGAAAAAGGCTCCCACCCACAAGTGTGGAGCTGAGGCAGAAGCAGCAGCCTGGTGCCTGCAAGGACTGTACTACTGGGGGGTTGGGACCCTGAGCAACGCAGGAGTGCTGATTCAGGTATGTCTGCTTGTTTGAGTATGGTGTGAGGACATCAGAAAGGCTAGCTGCAGATCTTACCCTAGGCAAAAGAAGCCACTGAAGGATTTCAAAAAAGGAACTAATTTAATTTCCTCTGCCAAAACAATAGCTAAGAATAAGTTATGGCTAAAGCCACCATTAGGATAAAGTAGTTGACTTCTTATAAAAGACCAGAAGGACCAACGGACATGAAGGAACTTTGAGAGGATGAATGGAGATGTTGCAGGTCCTGACTGGGGTCACTGCTATACAACTGTGTGAGCTTATTAAAATCCACAGGCCATTACGCCTAGAAAAGATAAATTTTACTTTCCACAAATTGCAACTCAAATGAACTAAACAAACAAAAGAGCTAAGAAAATATATCAGCAAATCCAAAATATAAACAAAATATAACCTGTCATAAGTGACTTCCTAGACTTAATTAAAAAGTGTTTCTTTCCAAATATACTGATTACACAACAAACTTTTCTTTATTACTTACTTGTTTAATTAACAAACCTATCAGTGATACTCTTAATAACATGATTTGTGTCCACAGCATTATCCTGGGCAATATAAGAACAGAGCAAATTGTAAGACAACAGTATCAGCAATTCAAGGACACAATTTCAAGGAAAAATTCATACATAAAGCAGCTACTGATTATCGGGCCGGAGATACATAACCCTTGCTCTCCAACTTCACTATCAGTACTCAAGCACTGCGCTTGACCCCTCACTAACACACTCTACCTTGCAAATTTGCGTTTTGTCCTTCTACTTGCCTTCCCTCTGCCTGGAATGCGATAGCCCTCTGAACGTTGAGGTTAAACCTACTACTCCTTCAGCACAATGAAGCCTCTCCTCCAGAAACCAATCCTGAACCCCAGGCCAAGCTAAATGTTTCTCCTCAGGGGCCACCACTTACTCACACACTACCTTCATGCATCTGTCCCTCTCCAGACCACAAATGTCCCATGGAAAGATTCCATCTCATATTCTTTTTATCCTCAATGTCTACCAATGTCTGGCACAAAGATGCTCGATACACACAAAACTAAGCTTGCTATGTGCCAAGGAGTGAACAAAGCTCTTTAATATATATTTCAGGTGAAAAAAGAGATTCCTGCAGGTAAGTAGCTTGTCCAAGACAGAAATGAGATTGAACTCTGCTCAGGCTTCCTAGGAAGTCCAGCTCCTTCCCTTCCATTGTCCCAATGATGTAACTGGTACTGAAGAAAATTGGCTGGGAGTTTTTGGGGTGGGGGGGGCGGGGGGAGAGAAGAGATTGTTAAAGTATGGTAGAAATCTCTTGAAATAGGTGGAACTTGAACCCGGAAAAAAAAGGGGGGGGGGAGGGAAGAAAAAGGGGAGAAGGAAGTATCAGCTCAAAGATCCAGACTAGCATTCAATATGATTCATAAATACTCCATAACCTAAAAAGCACGTCCTGTTAAAACACGTACTACCCTCAAGTCCCACAACCACAGAATCAGGATCTCAGCCACCTGAGGCCATCTGTATCTGAAACTCCAGTACAAGGGCTTACACATCCCCAGAGCAAAGTGAAATCAGCTCAGCCCGTTTAAAGGAAAAATTACACTTACCATGTGCTCGAACACACACTGAGGTGGAAAACGCCCGCTTGCCAATGAGGCTGAACACTCTGGTAGCCAACATCCTGAAAGATAAAAACGGACACCTTCCCTAAGGAAAAGGGCAAATACCTATTAGAAGTTCCAGTGCACCTTGTACGTGGATGCAGCTTTTGTTTTCTTCTCCCCAGCACAGATGATCCATTCTTCATTACCAATTCTGAATTCACAAAATAAACTGCTTTTGTTTTTATTTTATTTTTTTTTTTTACTGAGTCAACACGTTTTTACACAGCTTCATTATAAACCAAGTGCTGTAACATACACACGCCACGGGACGTTAGTAGTAAACTGGCTTAATGAATACCTAAAAGCTAGAAACCCTACAGCACCCGGCTGCCAAGATGGGCTCCATTGTTTGCAGGGAAAGAATAAACAGCTCAAAGGGACTGGCAGGTACTGCAGGCAATTGTTAACGGATTAAAGACCTAGCATGTGCTTAGCATAAGAAGGGAGACATCAGACAGAAGAAAGGCTGCACTTGCGGCCCGGGCCGCCTCCAGGCCCTGCGGACCACGGATGACCTGGATGACCCGCCTCACCTGGCCCTTCCGCTCTAGCTCCCCCTCCCTAACAAGGGGCTCTTTGGGGGGCGGAGGGGGGCTGTTGGCGACGGAAGGGACCCCGAACGCATTCGGGGCACAACACCTAGAGAAGCGTCAGGTCAGGGCTGGAGTCTCCTCTCCCCGGGCCTGACCCGCGCGTGGGCGGCCGCGGGGCGGCTGGGGGGCCGGGGGGTGGGGCGCCGCCCCCGGAGCCCCGTTACACCGGGGCGGTCGCCGAGGCTGCACCGCGGACCCCGGGCCCTGCCCTCGGCCAGCGGGCGCTCCAAGGTCAGAGCTCCGAGTCAGCCCGCGGCCGCGGCGGCGCCGGTGCGGGCGGGCCGGATGCTGCGGGGCGGCGCACAGGCCGCGGCCCGGTGGCCCCCGAACCTCGAGTCCCCCGCCCGCCGCCTCAATGTCACCGGACCCGAGGCCCAACCGCCACTCCCTCCTGGCGTCGGTCGGGGCGCCGGGCCGAGGGCACACGCGCCCGCTGGCTCGGGGCCCCAGGCCCCCCCGGCCCCGGGCCGAGGGCTGCCTGCTGCCCGCCGCCCGCCGCCCGCTCACCTGCCGCCCGCTCACCTGCCACTGCCACCCGCCGCGACCGCCGCGACCTCCCTCCGTGCCCCGGCTGCCCGCGACCGGAAGAGCGCGAGAGCGCGCGCGAAGCACCACGGGATCGAGGAGGACTCGCCGGGCCGGAGGTCACCCGAGCGGAAGCGGGGCAGCGCCGCGAGCGTCGTGAAAGGCCGGGCCGGGCCGCTTTACGGCGGCGCCGAGAGGCCGCTTTACGGCGGCGCCCGGCCCGAAGCGCGAGCGGAGAGCGAGTGAGGCGGGCGCGCGTCGGTTTCCCCCCGCGGGAGCGCAGCATCGGCCGGGCGGGGACCCGGGGCCCTGCGGGGCTCAGCATGCCCGGGGTGAAGCTGACCACCCAGGCTTACTGCAAGATGGTGCTGCACGGCGCCAAGTACCCCCACTGCGCCGTCAACGGGCTGCTGGTGGCCGAGAAGCAGAAGCCGCGCAAGGAGCACCTGCCCCTGGGCGGCCCGGGCGCCCACCACACGCTCTTCGTGGACTGCATCCCCCTCTTCCACGGCACCCTGGCCCTCGCCCCCATGCTGGAGGTGGCCCTCACGCTGGTAAGCGCGGGGGGGGGCGGGGGCGGGGCGGTCCCCGCGGCACACGGGGAGCCCTGCGGCCGACGCTCTTAGGGCCGCGGGAGGCGGCCGGCCACGTCGCGTTCCCCGAACCCGAGGCCTTCGTGCAAACAGGCCCCGCCGCCCCTGTGTCGGGGATGTGGCTGTGCCGGGCCTCCTGGCTGGTCCGCCGCGGTGCAGACACGGTGGTGCCGGGGCCCGCGACACTCCGCAGCGCCGGGGTCGGCCTGGCAGGCGCCCGTCCCCTGGAACGTGCGGCCCCGCCGCTGACCTGGCGACACTCGGCGCGTAGGTTTAGATCCGTCAGCCCGGTGCCCGGAGTGGGCCTCGAACTCAGCACCTCGAGGTCAAGAGCCAGACGCCCCTAGACTGCACCCCCCGGGGGTTCAAGCGCTAGAGACTCCCGGTGACATTGCCGAGACCTTTTAGCCACCGCGCTGGGGTGTCTGCTTGAACGGCCGCTTCCCCCGGGGGGTGGGGGGGTGGTGGTGAGGGGGGAGCTTCAGCGCACAGATCGCCTGGCCGGCAACTGAGTGAGTTCTAGGCAGTGCTGTCTGGGTGTTAGTGGCCAGTGGAGGAAAATAGACCACCTCTAAGTTCCACCCAGTTGTTAGAGCCTTGGGGACGTCAGCTGTAACCTCCGAGCTACCGACCCCAGTGCCTGAGTTGAGATGCTGTTTACTTTTCACTTAAATATGAGCTATGGGCCTGAAAAAAGTTCGTTCGTAGAAAAAGTAATAAGTTTGAGGTGTAGACAGAGATCGGTTGTCTATGTTTCAGGCGAAATGAACCCGTTTCATAATTCACCTAATTATGACATCTACGTAAATCTTGGTAATAAGCAGGAAGTGTCCCTGGGCAAACGGTCCTACCCTAAAGTTACCAGGCACATCTTTGAGTGCCTGTTACATGCAGCCACTGTATGAATTTCTTCAGATCACCTCTGGAGAGGGTGTAGGTAGGACCTTTAGAAAATCAGTCAGTTTAGCTCCTAAAGAAATGTGCTGTCAGTACCAAGTCATCACTGGGGGGTGCGTGTGTATGTTTTAATGCCAAGTCTTTTCACTCAATGCCTTAACTATTCTGTTCTCGGGGATTGCAGGCTGATTGGTTATGTGAAGTGCAGTCACTTGCAGGGAACTAGATTTACCGGGAGCATTCGGTTTTCCAACAGTGTTCCAGGCCTGTGCTGGAGGAGGGACGTGGCTGTGGATCACAGCACATGCTTAGCACTTGAACCTGCAGGAAACACAAAATACAGTACCAAAGAATAAGTGTCACATGTAGGCTCGGGCAGAAAGTGTGAAAGGTCCAAAGCTAACCCAGGCTTGCAGAGTCCAGGAAGGCAGGCTGCCTGGAGAAATGGACATGCAAGGAGTGACACAGTGGGCCAGCCATAGTAACTGGGGGGCAGGCATCGGGGGAGTTGAGGGGAAAGCGTTCAAGTCAGAGGAACCAGTGTGTGTGCAAAGGCCAGGAGGAAATGGGGGTGGGGCTAGTGTGGCATGTAAAGGGACTGGGGGCAGAGAGAGGTAGGCAATAGACAGGTTTCATTGTACAGCAACTTGGCAGATCACACAGTGGCGTTGGGGTACCATCGTGAGGACAGAGAGAAGCCCCTGGGGGAGAGTTGCACAGTTGGATGTGTCCCAGAGTGATCACTGCAGCCTGCAGCAAGGAGGCAGAGTGCATACAAGACCAGAAGCCAGGAGGTGATCTACACTGAGCACAGTGTGGCCGCAGAGGAGACAGATCACAGAGAACCAGGAGGAAGAATCTAATCCACAGGACTCAGTGATGAATTGCATTTGGACATAGGGAGAAGGAAACAAGGAGGACACCTCAGTGTCTGACTTATGCATTGGACATAGTGGTGCCAAATGAAGATGACGTAGTTTCTGGTGTTGACAAATGGATCTGGAATTTAGAAGATGGATGGGCTGGAGACATAGATTGAGAACCAGTAGCTTCTCAGTGACTGTTGAAGCCGTTGAAAGCAGGACATATTGGCAGGAGCAGCATGTGCGACGAGGAGGGAGCTATGATAGAAGCCTGAGCAACTGTTGCTTCCACAGGGTGGATGGTAGAAGAGTTGGGCAGGGGATCCCTGGGTGGCTCATCGGTTTAGCGCCTGCCTTCGGCCCAGGGCGTGATCCTGGAGACCCAGAATCGAGTCCCACATCGGGCTCCCTGCCTGGAGCCTGCTTCTCCCTCTGCCTGTGTCTTTGCCTCTCTCTCTCTCTCTCTCTCTGTCTCCCATGAATAAATAAATAAAATCTTTAAAAAAAAAAAAAGAAGAGTTGGGCAGGCTAGCTGAGGAGTTGCCAGAGGGGAGAGGTGTGTTGCTTTAAATCCATTTAAAATCCTATCAGAGGGCAGCCCTGGTGGCTTAGCGGTTTGGCGCGCCGCCTTCGGCCTGGGGTGTGATCCTGGAGACTCGGGATCGAGTCCCACGTTGGGCTCCCTGCTAGAGCCTGCTTCTCCCTCTGCCTCTGTGTCTCCCATGAATAAATAAAATCTTAAAGAAAAATCCTATCAGGGCAGCCCTGGTGGCTTAGCGGTTTGGCGCCGCCTTCGGCCCAGGGCGTGATCCTGGAGACCCGGGATCGGTCCGTGTTGGGCTCCCTGTGTGGAGCCGGCTTGTCCCTCTGCCTGTGTCTCTGCCTCTCTTTCTGTGTTTCTCATAAATAAATAAAATCTTATTTTAAAAAAATTCTATCAGAAATATCTAAGCATCTAAAAGACAAACTTGAACCTCACTTGGAATTGTCAAAGTATTACTAGTGCTTCTCATTTTTAAGTAAGCTTTACAGTTAAAACATTATATTACTATTATAAGATATAAATACATCTCTTGAAGAAATTAAACATAGGAACTATAAACAACTGTGTTGGAGTCACCTTTACATGAATTTTCCCAGAGGAGCACAGCAGCCTCCCAAACCACTTGGAGAGGGAAAATACCCAGAAGAGACCTTGACTCTTAAAATGGCCTATTGCCTTCAGCCTCCCAGGAGGGGGAGGGGCACTGCATGAGGCTCTGTTTTGGTCTTGCTCCCCTGTGTCACTACACTCTGCCCTCACTCTCAGCTTGCAGCACTTCCTTCAGACACACCTATTAGTGTTTGAGGCTCCCAGTCTGCAAAGTCTAGTCTAAACTGGATTCTATGCCACAACTTTTTTTTTTTTTTTAAGTAGGCTCCACACCCAGCATGGAGCCCAGCATGTGGCTTGAACTCACGACCCTGAGGTCAAGACCTTAGCTGAGATCAAGGGTTGGACACTTACCCGACTGAGCCACTCAGGTGCCTCCATCTGAAAAATTTTTATTTCAATTAAGCTATTTATTTTTGTGCCATTCAGATTTTGACTTAGTAAATTTATAACCTGAAGGCAATGAAAAATCTCAGCATATGGAGCTGTAGTTTATCAATGTATCAGCTATGGTAGATGTGATTTTACTAAAGCTTCTAAATCCATGAAATTATAAATGAGGCTTTTATTCTCATGGCTTTTTTCTATTCAGGGAGTTTCATGTTGTGATTATTTTTAGTAAGTGGGAAAGACTGACTTGATATGCAGTCCATCACAGGGCAGCGTTAGATTCCTTTGGGGGGAATGAAAAGCTTTTCATTATACTTTTCCATTTAAAAAAAAAATCCTTTCATTTCTGGGTGCTTTTCATTTTTTTTTAAGTACTTATGCCTGTTATTTATCCTTATAACCGTTTGACGTAAGTAGTGACAGAATTATTTCTAATAGCAAAACCCATAAAATTTTAGCAGAAAAATTAGCATAGACCTGCTGTTTCTCTAATCCCTTTTTGTCTTTTTCTCCTCATTGATTTCCTGGTTCTTTGGAGCAGCTTTCCATTACATTCTGCCAAGATGACTTTCTTATTTACCAGTTGGTCTAGTCACTTTGATTTCAGTCCAGAATTCTTTCTGCTGCCTCACATGTGCCTTGTCTGTGCTCATTTGCATGGGCTACTGTCCTCTGGCTCTTTCCTAAACCCTCTACTTATTCTGCCCCCATTATCTCCAGGACATTCACATGCTAGCCTGGGAGAGGGAAATGGCTGTTCTGGGTCCTCTTTTCAGTTCTTCCCTCTAAATTTCATCCTCCCCATCCCACTTACCTAGGACCTCTTCTTTCATGGCTCCAGTTCCTTTCTGTTCCATAGAAAAACCAGCATCCCACTTGAGAAGGAGGTTTTCTTCTCAGTTAAACTGAGCACGTCCTCTCCTTAGGCTCCCCAGACCTGCTTATTGCTGTAGGCAGCAAGGCTCACAGACATCCTCAACTTGTAAGTGGCAGGTGTGGGAGTGACACCCTCTTCAGAGTGGCTCCTATGAGTTCCCTGCTTTACCTGCTTCATGGCAATGTTATAGTCACAGGAGGTAGGTAATAGTACTTTGAAAATTACAGTATCACACATGCAAATGCTAGCAAGTTTGCTGAGAAGTTAGTTTCTCTTTCTTTCTTTCTTTCTTTCTTTCTTTCTTTCTTTCTTTCTTTCTTTTCCTTCCTTCCTTTTAAGATTTTATTTATTTATTCATGAGAGACAGAGAGAGGCAGAGATGTAGGCAGATGGAGAAGCAGGCTCCATGCAGGGAGCCCGATGTGGGACTTGATCCTGGGACTGTGGGATCACGCCCTGAACCAAAGGCAGACGCTCAGCCACTGAGCCATCTGAGAAGCTGGTTTCTTTGTGCAGAGCTGAACTGGAAATGAATGAGTAGGGCCTTGTGCCTTTCATAGTTCTCCTATGTATCTAGGTAGAATGACCCAGAAACGCTTATGCACAGTAAAGTGTCCTCCTTTCCCTCTGAAAGACAGAAGAAACTACAAAGTAAATGTGGAATTTGGACCCTGTATGCAGAGTCACTTATACTAAGTTGACATCAGGTTTCAGAGTGTGTCCTGAGCTGTTGTCTTAATTTGGATTGTTCACAGGTTGTGTTGCAGGAGAGCAGGGAAAATGGAAAATAGATTCACAGAGAACAGAGGTCAGACAGCTGCTCAGTTCTTTTGCCTTGACCTGTCCCACTTGGGCACGAGTTGCCTTGACTGAGCAAGCTGCCTCTTAAATCCACTAAATTTTTTCATTTAACCAGCCCCTTGGGCTTTCTGCAGGATTCTGAACCTCCTCAAGACCTCCCTACCGTATCCTTGCTTCCCCTGCTCATGCTGCTCGTTTCTGCTCACCAACTTGTACCACACTCCAGATTACACTCACCCATGAGGTCTGGTTCCTTTGTTGAAACCGTCAAAGAAAACTCTTCCATCTTATTAAAACTGATTCACCTGACCTCTATGGGCTTTGGTGCCTGGTGGGAGCCCTTAGTTCTACATCCACCCTGTTGTGTTTTCCATTTTTCAGTTATGTGTCTAGCTGGACAGCTGCAGACAGGCAGTGTATGCCCATCGTAAGCATCCTTACAGGGGCACCTGGATGGCTCAGTCAGTTCAGTGCCTTGACTCTTGGTTTTGGCTCAGGTCATAAGCTCATGGGTTGTGGGATCAAGCCCCACGTAGTTTTCTGTGTTCAGTGGGAATCTGCTGGGGGATTCTCTCCCTCTGCTCCTCCCACTGCTCCCACACACCCACGTACTATCTGTCTCTCTCTCAAAGAAATCTTAAAAAAAAAAAAAAAAGGTATCTTTACAGTTAACTTGGTTGTCCTTGTTTGAATCATTCAAGTTTTAAAACCAAGCCAGTGCTTTTATGACCTGGTTCACTTCTAGGGCAGCCTCTTCAGAGAGTTCTGTTGAAAGTTCTAGAAGTCCAAATTCATGACCCTATTTTCCTGCTGGAATTGGTTAGGCCCTTACGTTTGTTACAAGAATCACTTTCACATCAGGTACTTTTTGTGTTCCCTGAACACAGACACAAGGTGATACCATGTGCATTGCTGGGAGACAAGTCCTGAACTGTTGCCTCCAGCCCAAGAAGGGATCTGAGTGCAGCTTAGAGTGCTCACTAAAGATTGCTCCTGGAGTAGTCAGATTATTATATTATTTTTAATATAACTAATAATCCTTATATTAAATGTAGTCAGCCAAAAATGATCCCGCAACACATCCACATCCTAATGTTCAGACCCATTAATACATGACCTTACTTGGCAAAGGGACTTTGCAGATGAGATTAAGATAAGGATCTTGAGGCGAGATGAACATGGATTATCTGATGAGTCCCCATGTAATCCTAAGGGTTCCTATAAGAAGGAGACAAGAGAGACAGGGCCAGAGAAAGGAGATATGACAACAGAAGCAGAGGTCAGAATGATGCGGCCACCAGTCAAGGAATGTGGGTGACCTCTAGAGGCTGGATGAGACAAGGAGCGGATTCTCCCCAGAAGCTTCCAGAAGGAATCAACCCTGATGACCATTTTAAACTTATCTTTAGTTCTGACTCTGGATAGAAGGACAAGCCTCACCAGAGAGCAAGGAGAGGAACACCCACATGGGCAGCAAGGACACACTCAAGAGGCTGGTCTTTGAGTAGAAGCAAGGGCTGAGAGGGCTGCACTGAAGGGGAGGCTAATCCTCTGAATTCGAGGTCAGGGAATGGGGCAGATGCCAGATTTTAGAGCTAGGCTCTGCCCTTTAGCAATACAAACCAACAGGTTTAGAGGAAAAGGAAAGAAATTGCCACTGTAAGCAACAACAGTATTTCTGGAACCCAATCCTTTAACAGGTGATAGAAGTAAAATATAAGTGATTTGGGAGTAATTTGCAGCAAAGTTACAGTGAAAAGAGCCATTTCATAAATATTTTGGAGACATTGCCCTAATCTTTTGGATGGATGACCAAAACATCTAATGGGTTCAGTGAGCCTTGGTTTTGACCCAATATGGTAATTTGTGAGCTCTTAAGAGGCCAGGATTATTATTCTAAGCCTTGTGCAAGCCAGGGAACCTTGGACTTCTTGTGAAGTCTGCTTGTAGTCGTAGGGGATATTGCCTGAGCCCCAAACCAGAATTCAAGAAAAAGAACAACACAACTGTTCGTTTGATTAAAGAAAAGGAAAAAAGAATATTTTTAACTAGTTAATTTACTATGAAAAACAAGGATCGATTTTATTTCCTCTTCATACTGAAAATAGAATTTATTGCAGTATGTTATTAAAATTCCGTAATGGCAAAACGTTAGGATGACCTTTTATTGTTTTTAATAATAGCATTAGGCCTGCAGGAAGCTAAATCTGATGAGGGATGAGTGGCGTTATAAAACAGACAAAAACTTTGAAAGTCTGCAGCCGTGCTCCCATTTAAAAGCATGCTACAGGGGCAGCCTGGGTGGCTCAGCTGGTTTAGCGCCACCTTCAGCCCAGGGCGTGATCCTGGAGACCCCGGGATCAAGTCCCACATCCGCCTCCCTGCATGGAGCCTGCTTCTCCCTCTGCCTGTGTCTCTGCCTCTCTGTTTCTCATGAATAAACAAATAAAATCTTATAAATAAATAAATAAATAAATAAATAAATAAATAAATAAATAAATAAATAAATAAATGCTACAGGGAATTGAGTAGGAGAGTATATGTGCACATGTGTGTAAACACCCCTGCTTGCATCTGCCCACGCACACGTGCACATGTGCCTGTTTACCCCACATGCCAGCATGAAGTGTTTCTCATGGTTAGTTGCTAGGAATACAGAAATTTAAATTTAATAGTAAAAGACTTGGTTTCAAGAAACCAAAGTTCCCATTCTGGCTCTGCTCCCTGGCTGTGCAAACTGAGGGCACCTCTGAGTTTTAGTTTGCTTATCTATGAAGGTTTAACTTCAGTGATCTGAAGGGCTTACTCAAGCCCCAGAATCCTCCATTCTTTATATCTTAAGAGCAGGTGTGTAAAGATGGCCCCACTTCCCCACCGTGCTGCACCTGTACACTGTGGGCACTGGGGCCCCGCAATGAGGGTGAGGCCACTCTCTCTGTTTTCTGTGCCCTCCCACAGACCGTGGACAGCAAGCTGGTGTGATTCTTCTCATGGGGAGAAAGATTCAGGGATTATACGTGTCTTGTCCCAGCATTTGGGGTGGGGTGGGAGGGCAGAGTCTCCTCTGAGTATTAAGAGGTGACGTTTAAGGGAAAATCGTTCATCTTTTCTTCCCGATTTTTGTTTCTCTTTCAGATTGATTCATGGTGCAAAGATAATAGCTATGTGATTGCTGGTTATTATCAAGCTAATGAACGAGTCAAGGATGCCAGGTATGTCAGTGCAAAAACCCTCTGGTCTGAAAGAATGATCATGTGACATCTCTGATACCCCTTTTGACCTTCTGTAGGCTCAGTGAGAACAAAACCCATCCCTGCCTTCTGTGCTTGTTTCTGGTGTGTGAGGGGAACTGTAATGTGAATAATTCTAAACAACAGAAATTCCAGCACTTATATTAATCTGAGATTATGTTTTGTATCTTCTTTATTTTGCTTCAAGAAAGTTCATACAATTAAAGCAACAGTCAGGGGCCTCCAATTTCTGTCCCAACTAAGAATGATGTAAGGCAGAGCATGCAGAAAGAATATTGATCTCTTTGGGGACAAATAAAATGACTTTTAAATTTGGTGCTTTTAGGGTCTGGTACTGTGATGAAAATGTAGTGCTGATAGCTCCTTCACATGTCACCCTCTAATTCTCACTAATGAGCAAATCTGCTTTCTCTCTGCCTTAGTCTGTGTCTCAACAGAAAAACCAATGCCACGCTGGAGTTAGGGTGATTGCAAGAGCACTCAACAGTGGGTGGTTTTCTAAGGTATAAGCTCACAGGGTAGTGCTATGACAGAAGGCAGTACCATCCTGGGGCCCAGAAGGGACAGGGAGGCAGAGTGTGGTAAAGAAGTTTAGGGACATAGCCAGCAGCCAACCTGCTACCTATGACCTGATAGGGAAAGCCCCAGAAGAGTCACTACCCTGACCTCCCTGTGATTTCCTCCACCTGGAAGCCAAGATGGGCGGTCTCCTGCACGGCGCTCTCATGCTCTCCTCACACTGTCACATAGAGCCAACTGACTCCAGTGTCCAGGCAGTTAGGGGCTGCAGTGGAGGATCACAGACCAAAACGCCACCTGGAGTTATGTGCTCAGCATAGGCAAGAGGGTGGACTCAGTATGTTTGGAAATATACAGTAAGCTGGTGCCTGAGTGCTGCTGTCAATAAGGCACAAATGCACCAGTCAGGACTCAGAGGGAGGGTAACCAACACAATGCTGTTAAAACCCCCACTTGGACAACAACACACAGGGTCTTGTGGTCCCAGGACCCACCACTCTTACAACCTCACTCTTTCTAGGACCCCTTCTCCATTTGATCCCACCCACCTCCCACACTTCCATCTCTCATCCAGAGCCTACTCACAGGGCCCTTGTTGGTCTTGGCCTGTGTTACACAAAAGATCCTGGGCCAGGCTCTGCTGAACAGGAGCTAAACATTCTTGGCCTTTGCCTTCAGGTTGCTGGATTGTACATGGGAGATAGTGCCGGTGTAGGACTGTAGTGCCAGCCTGAGGTCACGTGCCCTGATGGTGGTGCACAGGCTGTGATAGCAAGTGCGATGGGGAACTCCTCCACTGGGATGGCCAAAGCAGCCCTTAGGGAGGGGTGTCATTTGAATGCCTGGGAGTGGGTGGAGTCTTGTCAGGTGCACATGTGGAGAACAGGAAGGATGAGCGTCCAGAGAGGGCACAGAGTAAGGTAGCCAGCAGGTGGAAACAGGAGCCTGGGGTGTGCACAGGGAAATGGCTAGAAAGTGACACTGTAAAGGTAGGACTCTAAGGCCTTCGAACTTTCAGTATAAGCAGTATACTTCCAACTTTCAGTATAAGTGGGGAGCTGTCCTTGGAAGGAGTGTTTCCTGAACTGAGCAGCTGCTCTTGCAGAAAGACAAGGAGACCCGGCAGGAGGCAATGCCACCAGTTTGTTGAGTGTAGATGCCTCCCTTTCCTCCCACCACACCTCAGCTCCTCGCCTCACATGGTTGCCCCAAATGTATGTGCACTGCTCTTACCTGCTGCGTGCCTCATTTGGCTCATAGCTCTGTCTTCCTGCCTCTTTTTTTTTTTTTTTAAGATTCCATTTATTTATTCATGAGAGACAGAGAGAGAGAGGCAGAGACACAGGCAGAGTGAGAAGCAGGCCCCATGCAGGGAGCCCAATGCAGGACTTGATCCTGGGACCCCAGGATCATGCCCCGGGCCGAAGGCAGGCGCTAATCCACTGAGCCACCCAGGGATCCCCTCCTGCCTCTTTTTGGACCTCATTCTGGCCCAGTCCAGAATTCTACTCAGACACCATTTTTGTGCTGCTCAGAACTTCTAGACTTTCGCGGTTCCTTCACTTGCTCTACTCAAGGAGGTTTTACATTCCCCTATTGATGTCTATGTTTAACTGCCTACTAACAGACCCTTGTCAGGTCTGTAGCGGTATTAAACATGAGCTGGGGAACAAGAGTGTCCAGTCACCCTTGAGTCCCTTCTGAAGAGTCTCTGCTGGACTTGGTGTCTGTGCCATTGCTATGTTAGGATTTGCTGGCACCCTCCTGTCTAACTCTCACAAGGACACTCAAGTGAAGAAAGTCCAGCTAGAGATGGTCACTGCACGAAGGCCAAACAGCTTGGAAGCCCAGGAGCTGTGATTATGCTAATTTCTCTTCTTGAATACTATTTTCCTCTCCTGGAAAGTCTTCACTTCTCTCTTTAGGCAGACTTAGCTAAAACGTTGCTTTTCCTTTAGAAATAGTAGCTGAGGGACGCCTGGGTTGCTCAGCAGTTGAGCGTCTGCCTTTGGGCCCAGGTCATAATCCTGGAATCCTGGGATCGAGTCCCGCATCGGGCTCCCTGCATGGAGCCTGCTTCTCCCTCTCTCTGTGTCTCTCATGGATAAATAAATAAAATCTTAAAAAAAAAAAAAAAAGAAAGAAATAGCTGATTAACAGTGTCTCACAGTCTTAGAACTGGATAGCCTTGGATTCAAATCTTAGCTGACTTACTGATTTACCTCCAAGGGCCTTGGTGGTCCTATCTGTAAAATGGCAGTAAAAGCTTATGCCTTAGAAATTGGTCTTGAGGACATAGTGAAGCAACATACACCATGTTTAGCTTTGTGCTTGGTTCAAAGTAGAAGCTTATACTATTACTAGTCCCATGATGACTTTTTTGAAAAAAGGATCATTCAGACAAACTCTTGGGACTACACCAAAATAAAAAGCTTTTGCATGGCAAAGGAAACCATCATCAAAACAAAAAGGCAAGGACTGAATGGGAGAAGATGTATGCAAATGATATATCCCATATGGGGTCAATATCCATAATATATGAAGAGGGACGCCTGGGTGGCTCAGTGGTTGAGCGTCTGCCTTTGGCTCGGGACGTGATCCTGGATTCCTGGGTTCGAGTCCTGCATCAGGCGCCTTGCATGGAGCCTGCTTCTCCCTCTGCCTGTGTCTCTGCCTCTCTTTCTGTGTCTCTCATGAATAAATAAGTAAAATCTTAAAATATATATGTATATATATATATGTATATGAAGAACTTACACAACTCAAAACCCCAAAAAAAGCAAACAATAAAAAATGGACAGATGATCTGAATAGACATTTTTCCAAAGAAGACCTACAGATAGCACAACAGACCCAAGAGAGAGGATGGATGCTCAGCATCATTGATCATCAGGGAAATGCCTATCAAAACCACAGTAAGATGTCACCTCACACCAGTCAGAAAGGCTAGAATCAGAAACACAAGAAATACCAAGTGTTGGTGGGGATGTGGAAAAAAGGGAATCCTCTGCACTGTTGGTAGGAATATTGGTGCAACTTCTCTGAAAAACTGTATGGAGGTTCCCCAAATACCATATGATTCACTAATTCCACTAATGGATATTTAACCAAAGAAAATAAAAACATTAATCAGGAAAGGTGTGCACCCCTACATTTGCCATACCACTATTTATAACAGCCAAGACGTGGAAACCGCCCGTGTCCGTCCATGGATGAATGGACACAAAAGATGTGAATATATCCATAGATTAGTACTCAGCCATGAAATAGAATGAGATCTTGCCATTACGACAATGTGGATGGACATACAGATACTAAGTGAAATAAGTCAGAGAAAGATAAATACTATGATTTCACTTACATGTGGAATCTAAAAAACAAACCCAATTTTTGGGGCACCTGGCTGGCTCACTCTGTGGACCGTGCGAATCTTGATCTCTTGGTTTTGAGTTCAGGCCCCAGGTGGTATAGAGATTACTTAAAAGTAAAAAAATCTGGGCAGCCCCGGTGGCACAGCAGTTTGGCGCCGCCTGCAGCCTGGGGTGTGATCCTGGAGACCCAGGATCAAGTCCCACGTTGGGCTCCCTGTGTGGAGCCTGCTTGTGTCTCTGCCTTTCTCTCTCTATGTCTATGAATAAAATAAATCTTTAAAAAAAAAAAGTAAAAAATCTTTAAAATAGCTGTAAATTAATTAATTAAATTTAAAAGGCTCATAACTACAAAGAGCAAACTGGTGGTCACCAGGGGAAGGGGGAAAATAGGACAAGGGGATTAAGAGGTATAAACTTCCAGTTATAAAATAAATAAGTAAAACAATAAATAAAATAAGTCACAGAGATAAAAGTACAGCATAGGAAACATAGCTTTAAAAAATCAGTGTTTTATGTTGTAAAAAGAAATGTAAGGTGCTTGTAACACTTTCACTTATTTACTAAACTTCAGGTCATTATGTCAGGTTTTGTTAGAGCACTTCCTAATTGCTGGTGTTTTGCTTTCTGCTTTACATTTCTAGTGGGTAAATGTCAGCACCAGGCACAGTGTCCTGGTCTGAGGTTAGATGCTCAGTTAACAGCTTTAAAAAAAAAAAAAAAAAGATTTTATTTATTTACTCATGAGAGACACAGAAAGAGGGGCACAGACACAGGCAGAGGGAGAAGCAGGCTCCATGCAGGGAGCCCGATGTGGGACTCGATCCGGGTCTCCAGGATCATGCCCTGGGGGCCCTAAACCACTGAGCCACCCGGGCTGCCCAGTTACTAGCTTTAATTTTTATCTTATTTATTTTTATTTTATTTATTTGTTTGTTTGTTTGTTTATTGTCACACACAGAGAGAGAGAGAGAGAGGCAGAGACATAGGCAGAGGGAGAAGCAGGCTCCATGCACCGGGAGCCCGACGTGGGATTCGATCCCGGGTCTCCAGGATCGCGCCCTGGGCCAAAGGCAGACGCTAAACCAGGGATCCCCAGTTACTAACTTTTAGATCAAGAATAGAGATCTCAGTTCAAGTGAATGCCTAGCTTTGTGCTAGTTGGGGGGGGGGGTGTAAAGTGGTATCTGCAGTTTTATTTGACCACTGAGGCTTCATGGGAACAGAGTTGATACAGCCTAATAAGCAAAATAGTGACCTTACTATCATCATGTGACAGTTGTACATTAGAAATGCAGTTAGGGCTGGGGCAAGTCAGCATTTGAGACAAAGTAAATAATACCAAAAAATGTAGACAAAATTGGCAATTCTTTCAAATCCTTTTTCAAATCATTAACTACAATTTTAACTTTATCAAGAATACATTTTAGTGCAGCCCTCTGTGTGTGTGTGTGTGTGTGTGTCTCATGAATAAATTTTTAAAAAAAAATTTTTTTTTTTAATTTATGATAGTCACACAGAGAGAGAGAGAGAGAGAGAGAGAGGCAGAGACATAGGCAGAGGGAGAAGCAGGCTTCATGCACCGGGAGCCCGATGTGGGATTCGATCCCGGGTCTCCAGGATCGCGCCCTGGGCCAAAGGCAGGCTCCAAACCGCTGCGCCACCCAGGGATCCCTAAAAATTTTTTTTAAAGAATACATTTTAAATTTGAGTTCTTGAGAATCTGCATGGTAGTTCTTATTTTTGTTTTGTTTTTGTTTTTAAGATTTTATTTATTCATAGAGACAGAGAGAGAGGGGCAGAGACACAGGCAGAGGGAGAAGCAGGCTCCATACAGGAAGCCCGATGAGGGACTCGATCCTGGGTCTCTGGGATCACACCCCAGGCCGCAGACAGCGCTAAACTGCTGTGCCATCGGGGCTGCCCTAGTTCTTGTTTTTATTTTTTTATTTTTAAGATTTTATTTATTTATTCATGATAGAGAGAGAGGGGGGCAGGCAGAGAGAGAAGCAGGCTCCATGCCAGGAGCCCGACGTGGGACTCGATCCTGGGACTCCAGAACCACGCCCTGGGCCAAAGGCAGGCGCTAAACTGCTGAGCCACCCAGGGATCCCCTAGTTCTTGTTTTTAATGAATGTTTCTTAACCCCCTTCCTGATAAAAGTCTCTGTCTAAAGATGATCATCATAAATGTTAGGATGATAGTTTTTGTTTTTTAAAGATTTTACTTATTTGAAAGAACATGAGCAAGGGCGTTGGATCCACAAGGGGGTGAGCTGGGGAGGAGAGAGCAGACTCCTCACTGAGCAAGGAGCCTAATGCAGGGCTCAATCCTAGGACCCTGAGATCATGACCTGAGCCAAAGGCAGACACTGAGCCACTCAGGCGTCCCAGAATAATAGTTTTGTAAGTTTCTTTATGGTAGATGCTTTACACAAATGCTGACCTTTTTTTCCCTTTGTACCTAAGGTGTAAGTGAGTTAGGGATGTCAGCGTGTGTGTCATGCACATTTCATGGATGAACAGGAAAGCCTCCATGGCTCCAGCCCCACTCCTTGCCATTTGCCATTGGAGCCATGGGAACTGTGCACCTGCCAGCTCCGGGTAAACACAGTATAGCCCTGCCATGTGGAGCTTTCCATGGTGGCCTGAAGGACAGGAACCCCTGGGGCCCTTTCTCTTTGAACCTGCTTTGCTGTTCATTTTTCCTAATCCTGTAGACTTACAATCAGCACATCACTACAAATTCTCAATTTTGAATGTGAAAATAGAATAATTAGATAAAATAATTCATTTTCATAAAACATTGTTAATCTTTTTTTTTTTCCAGCTCAATAACAACATAATTATATAGGATGTTTCCTTAAGTAAACCCACAATTATCAATGTGTTTTTTACAGCCATTAAAATATACATGGCTCAGTTCTTGCTTCAAAAAACTGAGGCTCTCATTGTGCTGGGAAAACAAGATGCACAAAAAGATAACTGCATGCCAAGGATTAGGTGTTAAAGCACTTTAGAAGTAGGGTTTAGAGACGGGACAAATGGACCCCCTCTGAGGCAGTTTGACAAGACCTCCCATAGAGGACGGTGTTTTCTGGGCATTAAAGATGGGAAGCAATTCAGTAAGCAGAAACCAGCATGGCAGGGCATCACAAACAGGGAACAGTGTGAACGAGGGGGAGGAGTGTGTGAGGGAGACAGTTTGTAGACCATTCCATTGAAACTAAAGATGCACAAAGGACTGCTTCTGAGTAGGAACAGTAACTAGGTCCACAGGGAGAAAGGCCTCAATCTCCCAGGCTGAGAACGGTAGGCTGTTAGATCACAAGCAATGGTGAGCAACAGGAGACAGGATGGAAGTTTCGCTTTAAGAAAATTGATCTAAGGAGAGTTTTCAGGATATGTGAAATAAGAAGAGCCTAGAAATTGAGACCAGTTTGGAAGCAATTTTTGAAACCCAAGTGTGGAATGATAGCCTAAACACAGCGGATGGCAGGGCAGACAGAAGCCGAGGCAAGGAGGGAGTTTGGGGCAGCTGGTAAGGACTCAAAAGAAGAGTAGGAAACCAGAGAAACTAGAGCAGCCAGCAGCCTGGACACAGGAGGCTCCAGTGGGGTGGCTGGGGTGAGTGGGGGTGCTTGACGGACCTCCAGGGTACAGACCCTTGAAGCTAAGGGGGTAGGCACTGCAGGACAAGACTCAGCTTATTAAAGATTAAGATATATTAAAGTTCACGAAACATGGTTGAAAGGAGAGAATTGGACAGGGGCTAGAGGGAACCAGTTAAATAATATTTTTTCCTAAGAAGGAAAAGTCTGGCTCAAATTGGGCTGCAGAGCAGGGACACTGGGAGGAGAGGACATAAAGGAAGCCCCTAAGGAGGAAGTGTGCATGGGGAGGCCTGTGAATGAGAGGAGGCCTTTGCCTAATACAGAATCAAAAAACAGTTGGGGCGTGGTGGGGGGGGTGGCACTGGGATGATGCGGGAGCCTCTCTAGCTTGCTTTAATGGATTTAAAGGTAGCAGGTTATCATTTATCAAAGTTGGGATGGGCCAAAGCCCGCAACTGATGACTAACAAGAATGGAGAAGATTTGGAATGGCCTAGGAATTTTCTAAATTAAAAAACAAATGGCTCGATTGCCTCCAGCTAAGAGGTGGACAGAGTTCCTTTGCAAGTGTGCAGTGGAGCAGGCAGCCTGGGAGGCATCCAACCTGGAGCTCAGAGGATGGGAAAGTACACCAGGGGTCTGTGGCCTCAGGTGGGGTGGGCGGGGGGGGGGGCTGCTCTCTATGGAGTTCCGGGGAGCCTTTCTGGTTAGAAGGTGTCTCTTCTGGAACGCACGGACCTGCTTTGCACCTTATTCCCTGTCGCCCTTATGGCATGCCCTATCCTTGGTACCTGCAATGGCCATAAGCTGCTCTGACTGGCGTGAGGAGCACACACAGGTGATTGGTGTATCATTCATATTGGTGCTCGTTAGCCCTGCCATAGGGAGACCATGCGGGATGGTGGAAGCTGAGACTCAGCTCACTGTCATGTCTTTTGCAGTCCGAACCAGGTCGCAGAAAAGGTGGCCTCCAGAATCGCCGAGGGCTTCAGCGATACTGCTCTCATCATGGTGAGTCCCTCTTGGGTACTGTCATGTTTTCTGTTGCCAGGACGGCTGCTTAGCCTTCTCGCACTAACATGGAGCTTTATCGCACGAGTGGTCTTCTCTGCAGACATTCCAACAGGCCAGCGCCACCCTCTGTGGTCTCCTCCTGGCCGCAGACTCCGCAGGCGCAGTATGAATGCCACTGCAGCCACAGCAAGCTCCCTGTCTCCACAGGGGGAGGCAGTCTGGCTCAGCAGTTCTCAAGGGGGAGGTCTCAGCGCCAGCATCAGCACCACTTGGGAACTTGCCAGAAATGCAGATTCTCAGGGCCCAGCAGGTGGCTTTAATAAGCTTCCAGATGATTCCGAGGCACACTCAAGTGTGAAAGCCACTGAATTAGCCGACAGCCCGAAGGGAAAGAAGTCAGGTAGACTGTCACGAAGATCAAAAGCCTTGTTACACAGGCTCAGTTCAGACAATTCTGACAGGGAAGGAAGAAGTAATATTCAGAAGCTCTGCTTTTATGGAAAAACCATAGTACTTGGCATTTATTGTACATTACACACAGTTAACCTTAGACCATATTTGAGGTGTGATTGCATGTGTCAGATTCATGATGTCCACGTGCTGTGAGGTGGGTTTCCATCTGTGCCATGAGGAGGTGCCTGAGGACTTCCAGAAATGTAGCTCTGTTCACGAGTGCATCCTTTGTCTTGTGCACAGGTAGACAACACTAAGTTTACGATGGACTGCGTGGTGCCTACAATCCATGTGTACGAACACCATGAAAACAGATGGCGGTGCAGGGACCCACACTAGTGAGTGCTGCATTCTCGGGGTGACCTGTGTGCGGAATGCTGTGGGCTGTTCTCCAGGGCAGTGTAGAAACCTCATGCAGAAATCATGCATGTTCCCCAGCTCCTGAGAGAGCTCGAGTGTTACTTCTGGTTCTTGCAACCCCTGGAAGAACCTGTTTTGGTATGAACCAAAACAAATGCCTGAGAGCGGTGCAGGCATTTGTTTTGGTTCATAATCACTCAGAGAGCTTCCACCACCACCCCCTCCAGCTTCTTTAGATTTTTGTTTGGAGGGCGTCTCTTTTATTTCTTAACCATGCTTCATATTCTTTGTGCACATCTTTGGGTGTTTGAAACTTGTCTTGCTAGCATTCCTGATTGTTTTCCTTTATACCAGTGGGTATGTGGCCGGTTTTCTGTGTCCTCTGTTGGAAAACCACCTGTTTTTCGCTGAGAGGCTGATCTCTCCTATTTCACGTCATAGTGATTACTGTGAAGACTGGCCAGAGGCCCAGAGGATCTCAGCGTCACTCCTGGACAGCCGGTCCTACGAAACACTTGTGGATTTCGACAACCACCTGGATGACATTCGGAATGATTGGACAAACCCAGAGATCAATAAAGCCGTTCTACATCTGTGCTAGGGAGGGGTTTTAGTGACTGGTCTTTGGGCATTTCCACTACACTGAAGAAGAAAGCTATTTTTAAATGTAAATAAGATCTCTCCTAGCCTGTGTGGAAAGCCGACAGTTTTTGGAGGTGGCGTATGCCCTGACAAAGGGCAGAATGTCCATCAGCCATCTTTTAATGCAGAGTCTCTAGAAGAGGTGCAGACTTTCCCATCTGACCGGCCCTGTGGAGTCCTGCCCAGTTGTATGTTGCTCTAATCCTCCAAATCAAAGCTGTTTCTGCTTGTCCGAGATCATTCCTATTAAAGAGTTTTAACTAACCTTTTATAATCTTCAGAGAATACTTTTTAAGGCTTATGAACTACCTATAAAAGAAAAAAGCCCACATCTTATACTTGAGTGAGTGAGTGCAAGTTTTCATCCTGTCGGGGTTTGTGTCGTCCAGTGTTGGGATCGGCGTGCACTCAGCGTTTTGCCCTCGGGAGGCTGTGGCCCCGAACAGTGCTGCCCCACACCGGTTGGGCTCACATAGCTGCCGCAACGACACAGTGGGAATAATGCCACTGTTGCCTAAGAAACCTTCATCGTTAAGGGTAAAAACAGACGCCACTGGTAATGGGAACTTGGAGGAGAGCATGGTGTAATGCTTCTCAGTCAACCAGAAAGCTCGTAAACCTGCGGAATCAAAACTGGGAAAATGAACTGTATTAAGATGATTTTTAAGAGGCAAAAATCAGTCCCAATTCTTAACTCATTTCCCTGATTATCTAAATGGTTCTGTGTCCTCAAAATAATTGTTTTATTTTGTATTTGAAGCAACAAAAGCAAAACAAAACTTAGACTTCCCGAGTTTTGCAGAGCACTGTTTGTAATTTTTATAGTTGGAACATTGGGTCACACTTTTTAACACAATCACAGGAGATGATGGGGAGACTTTGTGGCACTGCTGCACTTTATTCTTTCCTATAGGAGTCATTCTCTTTGCCCTTTCTTCAAACAACACCTTCCCCTTAATTTTTGAAGACAGCATTACTTCATGTGCGGACAAGGAAGGAGGGGTGATGGGTCGGCATGCTCCATCTTCCTCGTTCTCGCCTCAGACACCCGGCCCGTCACAGAACACAAAGAGCAATCTCATTCCAACTAGGTTTGTGTTTGTTTCACAAAGGGAGAAGGATCACCTCCACAGAAAAATGCTCTTTTCCTGGGATTAAAGCGAGCATGTACTACCTGCAGCTCAAGGTCAAGGGGAATTGGCAGAACTATTCAGAATGAAGGTGTGGCTAAGGCGAGTTTGGGAGGCATTTTAAAGACCGACTCTGGTTTTCCCTCATTTTCACCTCTCTGCAACTCTTGTATGTGTTTTCCCACCGGCTTCCACCATTGTGCCACCTTCGGTCAGATTTCGGCCTGGAACCAGGTTCCCTTTCTGTGACTGAGTCAGGCATACATTTTCAGAAGGAAATATGTTCAATATTCCAAGAGGAAGAATGTATCTTTAAAAAAATTTCCAAAGTGCAGGTGCCAGCTCCTGTGTCCTTGTAGAAACAGCAGGAGCTTGTGCTGGGTCCCCCTTCCTCTTGCCTCGAAGGCTCACTGTGCAGTCTCTGGCCCACAGCCTCCCTGGCCCTGAGGACCAGCTTCGTGTTTCCCTCCTGGGGATAAAAGTGAGAACCTGCCAGGTAGCTGCACATTCATATTCCTACTCTGCCTTTCATAGAAAAGACTTAACTGGCACAAAGTATTTTTGTCTACTGAAAAGATCTTTGTCCATCATAGATGTTCCTGAATTATTCTAACTTGAATCTGAAGGGATCGGAGGGCGGGGCGGGGGGGGGGCGGGTATGTGTAGAGTTGCCACTCAGAGCCAGCCCCATGCTCAGAATCATTCTGGCTGACACTGTTGTCTCTTCCTTGGCACCCATCCAGTAAGAAACGAGCAGGACAGATAAATTATTAACGGATAAAAATGTCATTCCCATTTCTAATCACAGTCACCTTTAACAACCAGGGACACTAAACTCAGGGAAAGTTGGCAGGAACTTCCCAAAGAAAAGCAGCATGCCTGCTAGGGGGAATACAGCCTTGCTAATTCTAATTAAATTAGGTTGATTTAGAATGGAAAACAACCTAAAAATCTTGAGCAATTTAAATTTACAAGTCTGTTTTCTGGGGATCTGCTATTTTTAGGCCACCTTGGTTGTAAAAAGCCCTTGTGTAATTAGCTTTGGTTGAACAGCTTATTTCTCACATGTACTTGGAAAACCTATTGTTCCCACATATGGTAATTCCCAGCTAAGGAAACTATTTCTAAAACTGCCCCTTTTCTCTTTGTATCTGTCATAACACCGGTAGCTACTTCATGAGATCATGGTAGGTAGACACAGGAAAAGTAGCCACTGGCATCCATCTCCATATCCCACAGACATTTTAGCCATTTCAGTGAAGAGAGCAGAGTCTACACTTGATCTTAGCCAAAACGCTGAGAAGTGATGAGAGCCGAGTCTAAAAGTAGACTTCCGTTTTACTAATTGACATTCCTTGAGGCTTTCCATCAACTCAGTGCCTCTTAAACATTGGACTTTTTCCTCCAATTCAGGAGAAGGCCTGGCACCAAATGTTGGTTTGTGTTCCCGGGCCAATGCGCAGGCAGGCAGTGTAGTAATCTGACTTCACTTCCCATATGCTTCAGAATCCAAGGGATAACTCGAATATTTTTATCCTCATAATTCTGATTTGTTTCTTCTTAAAATGCCTAAGATATCTTTGAATAGGATGCAAAATCTGATCAGCTTTGCCATTTCTTAGAATAAATTGCTATTCTTCTAAGGATCCTTTCTTTCCTTAAGGATTAACATTTGGGGTGGACATTTCCTTGCTGTGATCTGAAGATTTTTCTTTAGAATATGAGATCTCATCCAGCTTTAGAACTGCCAAGAATTCTGTTCTTGGTCTTTTGCTTTCAAAGCAGTGTGACAAGTGCCAGCAAAGCATCCACTTGAATTTGACTAGAGGAAACCTTTGGCCCAAACTTGTGTTGCCTCACAAAGCAGAGAGTAACGCAGTGTATTTAAGTGGTGTCCAAACAAACATTCCAGATACCATTAATAAACTTATAAATAATAGCATTTCAGACTAATTGTGGAGTTCTGTGGCCTGGCATGGCCCACAGTAGCTGGGGAGTCTGTCCCAAGGCGGGACACTGGCCAGTTTGACAAGCTCCCTGGGTGTACCTCAGGCAGTGAGGTCTGAGTGGGGAAGATTTAGTACCCTCCAGGTCCCCTTCTCCAAAGAAAGAGTTGCTCATTTCTCAACACTGGATCTTCTCAAAAAGAATCTTCCTCTTGGCTCCAGCAGTGCCTCACTTCCTGCTTCTTAGGTAACTCCAAAAATGCAGCAGCGTCTGGTGCCAGCTGGTGGGAGGAGGTGTGTGGTGATGAGGACCCGAGAAGGCCAGGTGTGAATCCCAACTTCGCCGCCTTAGCTCTGCAGCTGTGTGCAAGTTGTCTCAAGTCTTGTTTGAAACATGAGGCGATAATGCCTGTCCACAGGAATGTCATGAAGACCAAAGGGAAGAATACACATGTTAGCGCTTAGTGGAGTGTGGTGGCACCACGTGGAAGACAGCTCTTCTCTGCTAACGTTTTAACAATTCCAGGCCAGGCTGAGCAGGAGCTAAGTGCTTATTCATACTAGACATCCAGTGCACGTTCACTCCGTGACTGCATGAGCGAATGAAAGCATCCCTTCTCAAAAGATAACGACAGCATCCGTGTTTGCAACCTCTGTCCTTTACATTCATCTTCCCAACCCCCCTTGATGTTTCAGGGCCTCGTCTGCACTTTACAGGTAGTAACCCGGGCCTAGGTGTGCATGTGTCTGCCTGAGACTCAGACCAGAAGGGAAGGGGAGGCTAGGGCTTCGGGTACGGCCCATCTCCTGGGAGACCAGGAGCAAACAAGCGATGCCTTCCTCTTTCTCACTCCCCCTGGACTTCCCGCCCCTGGCCCTGGTGCTAACACATTTTCACCCTTCCTGTGACATCAGTGTGCACTCACAGCAGAAAACCAGGATGAAGCGTTACTCCCTTCCACCATTCCCCAGCCTGCCTCCACAAAGACAAGATAGAAAGCAGTCAGATCTGCAGCGACCTCCTGAGCACCTTTAATGTCCTGGGTGCTGAGATGAAAAGCACCTTGGAGGAGCTTTTAAGAGGTAGAAAGTGTAAATACAAGTAAAATACTAGGAAATGGACCCAGACCCCAAGCATTCTAATTCACTGTGATTTAGGGCCCAAAAGTTGAGATTTTGAGCGGTTAGATTCAGGCCACAGTTTTAAAAACCCTGATCTCTGACCAAAACCCATGCTTTACCATGAAGAATTTCAGATCCACAGAAATCCAGTGGTTCATCCAGTGGTACCCAAGCAGCCCAGCCTGAGGAACTGGACCATTAGGCTGACCCTCTCTGAAACTGCTAAATGGCTAGGGCAGCAGCTAAGAGCCTCACAGCTCCACAGGGCTCAGGCTGGCAAAATCCAGGGCTAGGGCTCCTGAGTGAACTTGGTCACAGCAGGAGGCTCTTTGATTTTTTTCTCTTTTAAACCATATTGCCCACAGAATGCACAAAGTGTGTGCTTCACGTTTGAGCAGTACAAAATAGTGATGCCAGACTCCCAACGTCTGAACAGTCTCAGAGCCTTAGACCCAGGGTGGTAGAGCAAAGTCAGTGTCTTACACTTCTGCCTCGTAAGGTATCTTACTCTTCAACTTTCAGTCTGGTCTCGAATCAGTCCTGTACTTCCCACTTGCAGGTGGCAGCTCCATAGCAAGACTGTCGTGTCCCAGGAGCCCCATCGTGGTCTCCGTGTATCAGGACATGCCCGCAGAGATGTACTGTAGATCAGCTCAAACAAAAAAAGGCACAAACTGTGAAAGCAAAATCTCCCCATTTTCTGAATATCCTTCCAATCACCTCTCCCTAAATGTCAGAGCTCTCTATTTCTGAAATCTGAAGTTTTAAAATTTATTGAGAGAGATGTGCCATGAAACACCTTTATGTGTTATGTTGCCCACTTATATTCGTGTCCTAAATTCTCTGTATTCCCATCTTAGACATGTTTGTCAAGAGTTTTTTTGTTTTAATGAAATGTATTTATTGAGGTACAACATATACAGAAAAGAGTGCAAATCACAAATGTGTAGCTCAGTGCATTTTCACAAAGTGAATGAAGTGGACAGGCTCCTATAACCACCACCAAGTTCAAACATAGACTCTTAGGGGCGCCTGGGTGGCTCAGTCGTTGAACATATGGCTTGATTTTGGCTCAGATCCAAGTCATGATATCAGGGTCGTGGAATTGAAAACTGCATTGGGCTCTGCACTCAGCACAGAGTCTGCTTCTTCCTCTTCTTCTGCTCTTCTCCCTCCTCACACTCTCAAGGAAATAAAATCTTAAAAAAAAATAGTATGCACACACACGTATATATGTATATTTACAGAGACTCTTTAGAACACTACTGACACCCAAGAGTCCCTCATGCCCACATCCTGGATTAGTACTGCCTGTTTTTTGAGCTTTAAAGAAATGCAGGTTTACAGCACATATTCTTTTTTTTTATTCAATTTGCCAACATGCAGTGTAATACCCAGTGCTCATCCCATCAAGTGCCCTCCTCAGTGCCCGTCACCCAGTTACCCCATCCCCCCCCCCCACCTCTCCTTCTACAACCCTCAGTTTGTTTCCCAGAGTTAGGAGTCTCTCAGGGTTTGTCTCCTTTTTTTTTTTTTTTAATATTTTTTAAATTTTTATTTATTTATGATAGTCACAGAGAGAGAGAGAGAGAGGC